GCTTTTTCTCTCAGAAGTTTACAGGAGTAAAAGAATACAGGAAATGCTTATGAGCCATCAGTTTCTTTTCATTTATGTGCATTCTGCAGTTGCAAGGTCTAGCTCTTCCACAGTACACAGGAATTAATGTATTTTCTCCTGAGGCAGTTTGGTTGTCAGTGCCTTTATGGGACTGAACACCTCATGAACACCTGCTGTCACCCAGGCAATATACACTGGGCAAATATCACAAAATGCCATTAATTACTATGGGATACCCTGTAAGAAGTCCATTATCACTGTAAGAAACAGTGTGGTGAGGTCAGCAGGAAGAGCTCCTGTGAATTTCATGTATTGCACTATCCAATGATCACTTTATCAAACAGGCCTGGGGAAGGCCCTAAGTGTTCATGCTATATATATAGCAAAGACCAGATTTAGAATTATAAACTGGCACAGAGGCAGGAAATAGATAGAAATTCCACCTTTTTTACTTTCTAACATTGACTGCTTTGACGGGGTGGAGAACACAACATCGAACCTATTAGAATACATTCACCATAAATCCCAGAGACCGCTTTCTGCAGGTTTCTCCTCTGCTACAGGTTGGAGCTGACCCAACAGCTACACAGCTTAGACAGGAGACAGGGCAAAACCAGAGGCAAAGAAAAAGCAACAGGAGAGCTCCTCCATTGCAGACAGGAAGTCCTCACTGGCCTCCTTACTTGGAAAATGGTGTTATTCCAAAGAGAAAAGCCACCCTGATGTCCAGTTCAGAACCAGAGAAGTTAAATAGTGACATGCCTTGGCTGGCTTAAGTAAGCCACTATCATTTGGCACTGCACTCCAAAGTCGGAGTACTTTGGACAGCCTTGCCTATATTTAGAGCAGGAGGATGGTGTGTTCATGGCACATGATGCAGAAAAAATCATATAAACCCAAAACTGAGCAGTGATTTTGGGACAGCCACTTAACAACAAGGACCCATCTTCAGCCAAAAGCTCTTCCACAAGATCCTCCTCCTAAATACAGCCATAAGGTGAGTCTCTGGCCTGAAAAACTTGACCACCAGCTGGTGTGAGAACTTCTGATTTCAAATCTCAGCCTTTTCTCCAATAGAATTTGCAAGCACGCGAGTGCTAATCCATGCTAAATGTAGTCACTACATGAGAATTTCCAGCAGCCAAGAGGGCAGTAAGGACTGACAATTGAGGCAATAAGTGAGGACTCTGAAAAGAGAGTCTTTGAGGGAATTGTGTACCCTCTGGTGCTGCAGTGCTGTAAACTATGGTGTTCATGTGTTTGGGAGAGATGCTAGTGCTTTTTCCAGCAAAGGAAGGAAATTCTTCTGTATATTGGGTCTTATATTTCCTTTTTCAGAGGAAAGCAGATGCATAAAGTCTGTCTCCAAAAGGGAGGTACCACAGGGCCTGAACTCATCAGTTGAATCAATATGATTTATAGCAAAACCAGTCTATTTTCTCCAAGTTAGGAATACACTTGGTATTCTTAAATTTAAAAAATAATTGACGTAAAAACATCATGTGTATTATGAAAATAGTATTTTGTTCTTGTTTTTAGACTGACACAATTAGTGAAATTGTCCCACAAACTAAGAAGCTCTCTTCTTGCAAGATCTTTTGCAATAAAAAGAAAAATCAGTCTTTTAGAAACTACCATGGTGACCTCTTCTGGTAGAAAAATATATGACCTCTAACCATGAAAACAGATTAATCCTCAAAGGAGGTACACCTGGCCCATTTTATAGTTCATTTTTTTCATTCTATATCCTGAAAGATCTAGATGCCATTTACAAATCAAAACTGATACACAAACTATTAGATCATTAAGGAAACATTACAGCCTCTTGCTGTAGAGGCAAAAGCCTAATCAAGAGGCTTTGGCATTTTTTAGAAACACTTTTTCAACAGAATAACAATATATTAACCATATTATAAAATTATAAGTGTATTAATAGATAATTAGAACTTGAGACAAAATGGGAGGATAAAATGTTACCTAAACCTGGGGCAACTGGGAATGAAACTCAGCTGTAGCTCAGGATCCTCTTGAGTGTTGCAAATACTTTATTCACCACTCTGCCTTGTTCCACTGCGCTTGTTTCCCTATATGCTGTACAAGAACTTTTTAATGCATCAGATCCTAAGTACTTCTGGATAGACCAGAGAGAAATCTTCCTCTGGTACAGATATAGGACCAAGCAAGGCTGGGGAAGCTACAGATTCATTTTCATACCATACTATTGTTCAGGCACAATCTGAACAAAAACCAATGGTACATGCATTTAAGCTTTGTACGTTGTTAAACGGCATGCATAGTGTCATTGTGATCCATTTTTAACAGTATTGGAAACTCCAGGCTTCTCTCTGCAAGTATAAAAGATTCAGAAAGAACTGTGCTCTTCATTACCCATTCTGTTTGTGTTTACCAATATAATCCATTGTGCCAATGCCACTGTCACTCCCCTCAAATGCTGGTTACTAAACACTCAGAAGAGGGAAAGAAACCTAGTCAGGAATTAACAAATCTCATACAATGTGTATATATGAAAAAATTAAATTGGAGTATGTCAGACAGAGCTGGGAAGTACTCTTGCAAGAGTGACAAAGAATACACAAAATATTTGGTAGCATGAGAACAAAAACATCCTTCAAACAACAACATTTCAAGTTGAAGACAAGCAATTTCACCAGTCCTGGTATTGTGGAAGTAAACTGATTTTACAGATGGATATTCACATGTTGTTGTCTGTTTTTAAGTACAAAGATCAGACATTTCCTTTAAACCCAAGCAAGAGCATCAAATAAAACAATTATGGCAGAGGGGAGGCCCAGCATCAGCCTGTACCTGAACCTGTGGCTGTGCAATGTTTTCAGTCATCTCAAAGGCAACAGACTGGCCTTCACACTGAAACACAGGGCTAAAAATCATGTTTCTTTCCTCCAGAATTCACTTGAATTGCCAGGGACATGAGAACATAGGCTTAGGGAATGGGAGGAGAGTAAATGTTTGGAGCTTTTTCTGCTCTTTGTTCCAGCAAAGTCCCCTTTTTCTATTCTATCTACAAACACTCTGATAGTCCCTCCTTGGTATATTCACAGTGTTCGTCTGAATTGGTTTCACACCTGACAAGAAATTCTCTTAGACCATCCAGATGTCTTAAGAACGTTAACATAATGACATCTTTGAAACACCAGGCTCTGGTGTCTTAGGACACATCTAGAGCTGCATCTGTCACCAATGTCTCATCTCTACTCCAGTGACTCCAAAATTGTACTAGGGACACCATCTCGCCCTCTCTATGAAAATACAAAAACATTTCCATGTCTTCAAGTACCAAGTACTATCCCTCTTGTCAGGCCTTAGCAACTTGCAACAGGACATTTTTGACATGGATCCTTCCCAAGTGTTAATCTACCTGAATATAATGAAAAGCAGTTTTCTCATAGGTGGAGAAATACCACAAGCATCACATGCCAGTATTTATTTGCTGCTGAGGGCTATACAAAGAATTACAGGGTCCTTCACTCAGGAGAGAAACAAACCAATTTCACTTTGAACTCGATCCAGTAGATGCTTTGGCCCAGTTTTGATTCTCATCACACTGGCAGTGTCCTCTGTCCCCAGTTTCAAGAGAGCAGGCAGAATGAACTTGGAGAGATGAAACTCTGGTTTTATGAAAGTCAGCTTGGTAGGAAGTAGATCAGAGTTAACAATTCTCCCAGGGGTAAAGAGAACAGCAATCTCCACACTTCTCTGGGGTGAACACTTTCTTGGCTCAAATGGGAGAGCCAGTTGGAAATTCCTTCAGGTAAAGGTGGGAATATGTGCTGCAAGCAGGAGTCCAACCATATAACTCCTGGCAACAAGCAGTCTTCCAACTCTATGAAAAAGAACTGATTTAATTAGCTCTAAAAACAATCTTCTGTAATTAAAGTGGATTTCAGACCAAACCAAGTTTTAAGACAAATATGTTCTAGGCAAGTGATTCTACAGTAGCCAGCAGAACAGCTACACTCTGTACTGGCCATTTCTAGGAAGGAAACTAAGGAAACAGCAGGAGGAAAAACTCCAGAGAGGTATCCTCCAGGGTAAAGCTGTGACACAAGGATGCCAAGAAATTGTTCCACTGACTGTGCATGATTCATTTCTTAGATGATAACACCACCTAAAACAGTGTTATGTGGGCACTCTGAGAGCCACACATCTGCCTCCATCTCGTCACTCTTTGTTCAAAAATGTGTGCACACAGACATTCCATCTGCACAGAAACCATCAGCTGAGCCAGGATCACTGCTCCCAGCAGTGCCTGTGCTGACCTGCAATCACCACATCTCAGGGAGCAGGAGAGGACCACACATGATTGGCAGAACACTGCACTTTGCTTCACACTGAATTGTGGCTTAAAGGCCAAGCAACATTTGCTACAAGATTAACTTTAATCAAGAGCTCAGAATAACTCCAGGATCCAATGATGGCTCAGTCAACTGCATGCAAAAGCTGCACATGCTAATGTAGCCTAAGGCATAGGAAAACAAAGAACTGATTTTTATTTTCAAACCAGATGGAAAACCCATTTCTATCACATTAAAATTCACCATTTAGCAAAAAGAAACTACAATAAGAATACTGAGACCATCACAAACTGAGATCAGAGGACTTTAGTGGCTAAAATACAGATATTGCAAGGAACCGTTTGAAAGTTATTTACTCCATTTTTATCAAGGATGTTTAATCTCAATTTTTCACTCCCTAAAGGTGAATAGAGGCAGGGGGGAACAGAGGAGGGACATTGCCTAGTATCCTCATGCAAGTTATTTGTACTTTTGATTCCCATCAAGCAAGCACCAACTTCGAATCCAAATCAGTGGTGACAGCAGTGTGATAGAAGCTCTTCCTTCCTGTTCTGTAGAGTAGGAAACCAGTTATCTCCCTTGCTCACTGAAAGCAATTAAGGTTTAGTCAAACTGATCAGCCCTTCCCCAAAAAAGTTCACTTACCATCCAGAAAAGGGTTCCAATGGCAAACTCAGAATAGTTCTCTATAGTAGACAATACACTGAATATTAAACAAATCAGCACCAGGAGAAATCTGAAAAAGGAAAATAGTGTTTCGTGACTCACCAAGTTGAAATATAAATCTAGATCTAGTTTTTTCTCTCTCTCATTCACATAAGTTTTTTATCACAAATACTTTGTGTTTAATCAGTCAATTCTTTCTACTGAAATAGGTATCATCATTTGCATTCTGTGGTGGTGTGACTTTAATTTGATTTTTGTTCAATATCTGTTTCCCCCCCCCCCCCCATCACTAATCTCTTCCTCTCCCCAGTTGTCAGTATTCCCTAGCTCTCCCCCAACCCCCTCATCTCCAAATTGTCAATCCTCCCTTTCCCTGCCCCTTTCCCTGGAACCTTCCCTGTCATTCATCCTAGCCCCCTCCTCTGCTTCCAGAGCATTCCCTGTCTGTTTGGTGAGACTCGAAACCCTATTGCTTATTTTGTGTTATTTCACTTCCCTGCTTCCCCTGATAGGTTTGTGATGGGTTAATTCTGCCCTAAACTCCTCCCCTGCTGCCTCATTGGTTGCTGTTCCTACACCCATCTCCCTGAATTCTTGTATAAAAGCTCTGCTCCCGCTCCCGAGGGGGTCTTGGGGCTCACTGAATAAAACCATCCTGTTCACCCCCAAGTCCCGTGTCGCCTCTGTCTGTTCCCGCACCACCGACTGGGACTGCAGAGCTTCGCAGGGGGAGCGGGCGCCCGTTCTCTTCCCTCGCCGCCCAGCACGGCACCGCTCGGGGTATCGCGGCGAGGGGAGCGTGTGCCGCGCTACTACAGCATTCATTCAGCTTTCAGAAACAGGGAATAAAAATGACAGGAAGGCCGAACACAGTAAATCAATGGGTAAAGCTCACATTATGAAGTATATTTCTCAGGGAAAGTTGTCATAGTGAATGTTTCATGTTTCACTGATTACTGCACAACTTTAAAAAGACACAAACTACACTCAGTGGGTTTTGGTAGCTTTTATGTGAAAATTACAGGTGGAAAAGCTTATCAGGAAGGGGGAAAACTCTTGTACAACCTAGAGACCAATGACAAGATTAATTTTTTTGGAGTTTATCCATGGTCTTTCCCCAGAGGACACCTTTATCAGTGTTCCAGAAGAAGAGATGAAATGCACCTTACCAAGTCCACAGCTGACATAAGCCCAGGAGTTTGGTCACTAAGCTTGAGGGCAGAGCCCCTGGTTAGTGGTGCCTGCACAGGCTACAGAACAGACATACAGGAATCTCCTAAAACTTGACAGGAACAAACCTCAAGTCCTACACAAAGTGTAGGGAAGAAGACTAAAACATGTCCCCCTGACCTCCCTCTCCCAGGCTCAATTCGAGTCCCTAATTCCCAGCTCCTGTGCCTCCGTCTCTCACACACGCCCAAGAAGCAAAGAAGGGTAGAGAATGCAGGGTTGTGGTCAGACTACAACACTGTGTCTGCCCCTCCTCCTTCTCTTCCTTGTCCTCATCCTCCTCCTCACACTGCTCCTGTGCTCCATTGTGGGCCCTTCCATGAGCTGCAGTCCTTCAGGATAAACCTTCCCCAGGGGCTGCACGGAATTTCTGCTCTGGGACCTGCAGCACCCTGTCTCCCTTCTCCTGCTTCTCTCACCTTACTGCTCAGAGTTGTTTCTCACTCTTGCTTTTCCCTCTCTTCTCCCAGCCCATGCTGTGCTCTTGGCCTTTACCCAGAAGCTTTTCCACCTAAGGCTCGGGGCTCAGCAGTCATGTATACACACAGATATAAAGAAGCACATGATGCAGAATCCCAGAATTATTTAGCTTGGAAAAGGCCTCAAAAATCATTGAGTCAAAACATCAACCTGAAAATCCCAGATCTGCCACAAAACCCTAAGTGCCCCATCAACAAATTTTTCAAATACTTCCAAGGATGGTGATTCCAACACTTCCCTAGGCAGCCTGTTCCACGTATTTACTCACAGATGCACTTCATATGTATATATCTATATATCTAGAGAGACAAAGTTCTCACAACACAGAGACAAGATAGAAAATCTACTGCAAAGAACTACTTGGATATGGAAACCCCCAAAACGTGTTTGCCTTGTTACCTTGGAGGGTAGGCTGAGCCAATATTCTTTATGCAGCACATTCAAATCATGACTAGAACTAAGGAAAATGGGACAATGTTGATATCAGCTTTCCTTTTTCTCGTCTTAGAGTGCCTCAGAGGTTTAGACTTCCTTAGGAATCCCAGGAACACTGAACAGGTGATAATGAACACTGGAAACTATTTTTGGTATGTTTGGTCTGATCATTCACACACTGCAAGGAAATTGCAGCCGACCTCTTGAAGCCTAAAACTGGATTTGAAGTAATAAAAACAAAAGGTCCTGCTTCCTTTCATCTGGCTCTGGAAGGAAGACACTCTTTAACCATAAGCGGAGATTTGAAAAGATTAGGGCCATCATTATTAAACAGATTTCTTCAGTAGAGGTTAGAGCTCTACATGTACAATTGTCTCTGAATCAAGTTTGCATTTCTTCAATATTTACCTGTCCTGATCCACAATATAAGAGAAAAGGAATCCAGATAATACATCTTAGTCAAGGGTAACAGCACCTTTAGCTCAGGACAGATCTTAGTCACGTTCTTATGGTTTATGAGTTCTACAACCCTTCATTCAGTCCTGCTATTCCTTTTACTTCAACATGCATGAGTTGCCAGACATATTCTTCACCAGTTTCACTCTCATCCCCAAATATTTATCTCTGAAAACAGTGCTGTGTTATAAGGGACACAGAGATCTGTCCAAGCCATAATAAAACTAATTTATTGCTTCAATGAGCTGCTGCACTGCCCAAAAGATAAACCAGTAGAGGAGACAGAACCCAGCATTCCTGGAGAGTGATTCTCCAAAAAGGAAATCAGAGCAAAGCCTCGAGGACAGATACTGAAACACAAGTCAGCCTTTGGGAAATGGAAAAGAACAAGTTAATAAGGGGTTCAAAGCATAAGGGTATTGCCAGTGTCCAACACTAGAAGAGTCTAGGTTTGAAAAACTGCAGAACTTTAGCCTTTTCTTAACACAGCACCACTGCCTTCCATGTAAAAGTAAGGTAAGTAGGGTCATAGACCCTCTTTTTCTTATACATTTAATATGAGATCAATACTGAGTACCCCATTCCATTGGATCATGTGCTCCACCAGGGAGTTTCTTTGTCCAGACACCTTTACTTCCAATCAGCAATCCTAGTGATGGGTACATGGAGAAAAAGGTGAATATACGTATCCATAAATCAGGACTGTGTTAAAGGCCAACAGAACTCTTCTGCAGCTGAGACTATCCTTCAGTCAGTGGTCAAGGGAACATTTTAACTTGGCTTGTCCCTGAAACCAGCACATCAAACACCTCCAGCAGAGATGTACAAAGAGACAGTCACTTCCTCTGAGTACAGACTCTTAATTTCTTCCAGATCCCTGTCAATTCAATTATATCCTTTCAAAATACCTTTAATTAGTAGTAGTGTACTGCATTCACTAGTAATACATAAAAATCCATGCAGAATTCACATTCTAAGGATGTAAAAGGAAGGACAATTGGTGCCTCTTTTTCACTAAGGAACCCCAAACTACCAACACAGCCTGCAGGTCTCGTAACTTTGAGCTTATTGTTGCTTCCCTACTGGTTTTATGTATTGAGATTCTCTTCTTTTTTTTTTTTTTTTTTTTTTTTCATTTCCAAATCACACACTAAAACCATTCAAAGGACCCTTTAAATTCACTTAATTTATGATTTATGGCACTATATCCTCTGGCCAGTGAGTGTCACTCCTTCCCAATGAATAGCAAAGGCAGCTCACATGAGCTGAGTACAAATTCAGCTGCAGTGAGGACTAAGTCAAAGACAAACACAGATTAATGATTCAGTGAGGGCATCAAGAACAGCAACAACCATAAAAGAACAAAAAAAAAATAAGCCATACAAAACCCCCAATCAACCAACCAAAAAAAAAAAAAAAAAAAAAAAAAAAAAAAAAAACCCCAAAAAAAAAAAAAAAAAAAAAAAAAAAAAAAAAAAGCCAAACATTAAAAAAACACCCCAAAACAAAAAGAAAACCCTGCTGTGGGCAGGCTGTCATCTCCATGGGGACACAGTAACCTGCTAAAGTAAGAGGAAATAGACATAATTACTACTCTGGAACCAACACAGAAGCAGATCTGCCTATTCTTTACTGGAATTGCTGAGAAACTGCATTTGAGACAGATGAGGGACAGTCTGATATTCTCAACCAGAGTTAGATAGGCTTTAGAAGGTAAAAATAACAAGAGTGTGCCAAGGTAGATACAAAACCAAATACAAGGCTAAAATGGTTTTCATCCAGGCAGTGATCTCACAGTACATGAACACCCAACCCAGGTTCATGTTCATGGATGGACACAGCCTCAGTGTGAAGAAGCTGGGACATCTTTCCCTTTGGATTTGTATGTCTGGAGGGGGAGGCAGGACAGGGCTGGAGCCAAAAGCCCTGAGGTGCCATTCAGGACCCCTAGTTTACACAGCAGCCCCACAGCCAAGGTGTAGCCGCGCCTGGGCATATCTCTGTGTGCATTTGCAGCAGTTTATGCTCAGTGCTCACCACAGGCTGTTGGAAAGAAGCCACGGGTGGAGTCTGGGGAGTAAGTGTTATCTGAGGTATGACAAAAAGGGCTGCAGACAAGTAATGGAAACAAAGGTTAAGTCCTCCTTGCGCCCCAAGTAAATGCACTCCCAAATAAGCCAACACTCCTTTTGCACCTTTTCTCTAGCACAGTGGAGCAGCATCTTCTTCCCCCTCTGATATGTCTGAGCCAGCAGTCAGTGCATGCTGCCTTCACCGCTTCCTTTAAGTTACTGTCAGTGTCACTGGGCCACACAGCACAATACAGGTTAGCATTGATGAGTCCACACTTAAAAAGTGAAATTAATTGCCAGCTGATCTGCAGAATCCAACAAACTACACCTCTCTGCCTCTCAGGCAATCAGAAAAGCTCCTTGTGGACTGTTCCTAACAGCCTCTGGAATGTTAAAC